ACCCTGCCCGCGTATAGAGTATTTTTACCTGTAAATTGACTATAACTCGTTAGTATAGTACAGATTTGGGGGACACATTTCACCCACAATCTATCCTAGCCTAGACTAATATGCTCCCAAAATTTGGTTGAAATTGGACGAAAAATAACAAAGTTGGTTTCTGAGGGGGGGGGCCCCCCTTAATATTTATTTAAACATATGTATTCGGAATCTATGAACTTTTAGCTATCGATCCCGAATAAAATGCATTGTTTGCGGACTTAAGTGTCTGTAAACCAATTTTTTGTTTTTCTCAATTTTCAAATTCATCTTGAAACATTCAGATAATAGGTCTTCCGCACTTGGCACATTTTTAAAATTTCGTGTAGTGGATGGATGATTCTAGAATTTTGACCAGCACTGTACTCAAGTCGTCGCTGGGTATCAAGCAACGAAGAGAAGTCTGGAAGGACAACTCGGTGGGCTTCGATCGTCATTGGCCGGTGTTCGAGCAGCTCTTCAAGTATTGCAAGGTGAACTCGCCGTGACAATCGATATCAATCATGAGGTAAGCAGAATGCACACAATATACAAGAATTTCACGGCAACTACTAAAAAACTGTCTCATGAAAATAATTTCTCTCTGTTCAGCTGAAAAAAGCCAATACTCAACTCAGTGCCGTGTTTACTGGCTCGGCAGTACTGCACAGTGCTATCGCTCATTTGGTCGATTTCGAATTACTCATTAATCCGCTGAATGCCATCTACGCATCGATTCAACAGATTACCGCTCTTGACACGACAACACACATCGGTCAGAGTCAAATGGCACAAGCCAAGACGAGTTTGGCTCAAATCGCTGTGCTTCTGCCCAATATGCCATTCAATTTGAACACTAATCTTACCTGCTAGATCGTTTCTCTTTCTTCACTTCTCTATTCTTAAGTTCACTACTCTAGTTCGACGCAAGAAGATGATGAAGAGTGAAAAGAGAGACATTTGACACAGTGTTTCATCTATGTTTGACTTTTAGATACATATTTTTTCCTATGATACAATCTTTTTTATTAAAAGCTTGTCGTTATACACAACGACAGGTTACCTTTTATTTTCGTTGCTAATAGACACACACACACACACATGCGATGCCTGATTGTCACTATTTTCACAAGGGTACCACTTTTGAGCTTTGGACTTTAAACAACCCTCCTCGAGTCGATTATGAAGAGTTATTTGACACAGTGTTTCACCTATGTTTGCTTTTAGATATATATCAATGACACTATTTTTGGCCACTATCTGCCTCATGCTGGCAGTAAGAGGCGATGGGGGCAATTCATTCATCGTTGAATCGTCTCTTGCTCGATCAATGTTTCTCCCCGCTGATCCGAGTCAGAATCCGTTCTTCGATCTCGAGGTTGAACTTCTCTCACAATCGTCTGGTTCGTCTTTTCTGGATGGTACGGCTCAATCTCTCCTACTTAGTCGGGCTGGTAAGTTTAGAGACTCCGCTCTCTTCTCAAACGCATCAATACATCAAACTTTTTATTTGAGGAGGTTACGAGAACGATCTTCAACAAGCCGAAAGCGATGATCAACTCGAAACACAAGGTGACATCGACCTTTTCACCTTTCTCGGTTTACTCGGCAACGGCCCTTCGACGATCAATCTACTAGGTCAAGTCATGGTTATTTCAAGCAAGAAAGACTTCTCGTTTCGAACCAATTTACCCAATGCAACATTTGAATACGTCAAATATCCTGACTCATTTCGTGCCACACTCATTCAACTGGCTAATGCAGCTTACAATGCTTTCCTTTCGGCTCACTCGAATATGAATGAAATTCAACAGAATATGCAACAAGTTCCGGGTCATGTTAAGACGGCACTCAAACTGTTGGCAACTGCTCCGTTTCCACTGCTCGAGAAGCTCCTGCCTCTCTCATTAAACAATGTTGAACGAATCGGTATAGAGTGCTCAAATCTATCACATACGACGCATAACAAATTTGCCGATGTTCAATTGTTAATCGGTGAGTGCGTGAAGGATACTCCAGCGCATATTTCTCTGGTCTAGTCACGGGCAACTGATTCGAGGTTCATTTTATAAAATCAGTCTCTCTCTCTTTCCCTGTTTATCGAAAAAGGAAATGAGGATTCCTATTTTCTGTACAGGTGAGGTGACTGAACTCACTGGTTTTTCTTCGGGTGTCACTGACCAAAAATTGGCCGAGACGATTATTGAATTGAACAAAACCGATGCGGCTAAGAAAGCGATGAAAGAGAAAGAAGCTGTCATTCAGCGAAAGTACGATGAACAAGCTGCCAAAGTTCGAGATGCACAAAACCAATTTAATGAAGCTCTCAAGGAAATTCCGACGGGACTCAATTCAATCATGCACCAAGCTTTGGGCGCCGCTGTCGATGTTTTCAAGCACTCTCTGGCAGCGACTATATGTGTTGGTGGGATTCGAAAAAATTGTATGCCCGGTCCGATTGGATCAACAGCCGAGGAAGCCGCTAATAATGCCATTGACAAGGCACAACAGGCACATCGCGCTCTGCAAGAAGCCGAAACACGTTATGATGCCATTTTCAATGAACTGCTGAATCATCACGATAATTTGACACAAGTTATGGTTCAACTGGCGTCACTCGACATGACCAAGATCGACTACGAGCAACTCATTCCCATCTTTCAACAAGCTATCCAATATTTGAGTGAAATTCGAGAGCATTGGGGCAGGTTGATTGAATTCTTCGATGAATTACGGATTCGAGTTCAGGTATGAATATAAAAGATGCGAGAATGATTTTTTTTAAAGTTTTCCATTGTTTCACTCCGACAAACGGAAGGATTTTACATGAAAAATTATATAAGTGATGAATTATTCATTCAGAGAATTGTTAGATGTATTACTGTATTTTTCCTAGATCACTGTGAAGAATTCGTTCACAAAATTTGTCGATTGGATGAAGACGGCTCAAGGGATGGGTGTTGATTATCTCACTCAAGAAATTTGCGCTTTCTACCTCGATATGTTGAAAGATGATGTCATCGGAATCCATCGTGAAGCTCATCTTCTTTATATCATGTCCAAAACTTACTACGATGTATCACGTGAGAATATGATGGATCAGTTAGCGGGCTTAGCAAAGATGGTTGTGGTGCATCGGATGAAGAACGAAATCAACTCAAAGATGAACTAATGCAAGACACCAAAATGGTTCAGGCGAAAGTGAGTCGTTTGGCATTTCAACGTAAGACTGAATATAAAGAGGCCAATAAACAACGTCGACATGAAATCGAAACGTTCATTCAACAAGCAACTATCGAAGCAATTGGACAAAGTATAGGACGTCGTCGTCGAAAGCGTGATCAGTTGTCTTTGATGTGATGAAATCTTCAGTTAAATAAATTTCGCAGTTCGTTTGCAAAAATAGACCTCGCGTTCACTCTAACGCTTGTTAAACCTCAAAAAATTGTAATTCAAAGAATTGAGTCTGATATCAAGCGAAGCTCTCTGACTGTGTTGATCGGCACTGATACCTCTTCTGAAATCGTTGCCACTTAGATAAAGGTCCACTGAAAGCAGAATTCTCACTCCGATTGACCCACGGCTACGAAGGCGTAGATTTTCTTTTCCTATTTTGAACGCTGTTTCCTAGGGTATGAACTGATTCAAAATTGTGAATAGGCACGCACCAATACAATATATTGGGCCCCAATATTTTTGTATACCCAATATATTGGGATCAATTGGGTCACACAATATTTTGAGACCAATAATACTGGTCACCCCAACGTATTGGGTAGCTTGAGTTCAGCCTACGTTTACAGTACACATGCATGCTCTATATCCCGTCTTGAATCAAAATATAACCCAATTAAGCATGCACTGATTGATAATCGACGTTAGGGCATCCAACAAAGTCGGTCCGAATCAGCTACGAAAAAGCACTTAAAGCTGCTGAATGTCTCATTTTTCAGAAGAATGTTTGCTCTACCAAACTGAAGTGCTAGAGAAATTTTAATGTTATATGTAGAGATGATATATGATAGACCGAAAAGTCCTAAAATCACAGAAAAATAATTGATAGTCGATTATTTTTTCACAGTTTTGCTCAGTTTTGGATGCTTATATTTCTATAATTCCACTTTAGTTTGGTAGAGCAAACATTTTTCTACAAAATGAGACATTCGGTAGCTCCAAGTGCTATTTTGTACCTGATTCTTTCCTGTTTATGCTTGCATGACAATAAAACGAAAAAATTATATTGTTACTTATCTCTTATTGTAAGCACATTTATGGTCAAAGTTTTGCTTTGTTTTTTCGTTTCTTTGACTATTCAGGTATGTCACTACTGTTAACAGCTAAAATTTAGACGCAGAGTTACTTCTCAACGGTACAATTGGAATATTCCTGAGATTACTGTATGTACGATGCCTTTTAATTACAAATTAAAAATATCGTCAGATAATTTTGTTTAGAATTTGCCTATCACATCTGACTAAAAAAACAAACCGGAGGAATATTTTCGTCTTCACCAGATTTTAAGTTCTTTTTGAATAACATATCTAGATAATTTTTGCTATAGGACAGCAGTTATGAGAAACTTAGAAAATCATATATTAAACTTTACACTACATTCATTTTATTAGAAAAAAGCAATTTTATTGTTTTATTGTTTCTGTGCCAACACTTTTATATTGTGTATATATAATATACAAGGACGCCATAGTTGAGAAGAGAGGTAATACATTTTTTAACCAATCTACAGTGAAAAGTTAATTATATCTACAGTTAACTTTTCTTACAGTAAAAAGTTTGATTAGTATTATGGTAGCATTGTAACGTTTCTTTTTTTTTGGATAGCGAAATAAGTTATTATTACCAGAGCCACCTAGAATTTTTTACCGCTAAAACATTTCGGGTGACTTACGGTAGCTTTTCATTCAGATTTGTTTGAGCTGCAAAATGATATACTGCAATACATTTTACCATCTTTATAGATTCGACCTAGTACCGCAAAATGAACCGATTCGAAAAAAATCACTCAAACTTTTCGAAAAGCTATAGTCGGTTACTTTTCAGGCGCTAAGTCGAGTCTATGAAGATGGTGAAATTTTTCGAGATATATCATTTTGTAACACAAACAGATCTGGATCAGACGCTACTGAAAGTAGCCCGAAACGTTTTAGTCAGAGCTGTGTAAGTCAAGTAAAAAATGCCTCAAGTCTAAGTCAAGTCAGACTTGACTTGACAAAAAGTTTTAATGACTCTGACTTGACTTGCGAAAATGTTTTTCTGATCTTCTCACGGATTTCTGATTTTAACTATCTCTTAAGTCATTTCCAGAATGCATTTTTTCAAATTTTTAATGCAAAGAAATAATAAGAACGATCTAAGTAGAGTCATTTTTCATGATTTCTGTAAGTGATTCACTTATTGTATGATCATTTTTGGAGTGAAAGGTGGGCTTCCCACAATTCTTACCAAATCCGTGTGCATATTATGTGTGTGGAATTGTTGAATATACTAGTATTGACTAGTTGATACCCTATATTACTATGAGAGCTGATGAGTCATTCATAAATTGCATCATGAATCTTTTACTGCTAAATGAAGGGTGAATAGAACTGAAAAGAAAACTAAATAAACTGTAAGGATCATTATGAATAACCCCAATTCTCCCACTCCAGTTTCTTCCACAGTACAAACATCTTCTTTAATATCAACATCCGCGTGTGAAGTCACACCAAAAAAACATGATGTTGTGAAAACTGCATGCGATAAATGTTACAAAATATGAGAAAAATTGGTCGGCTCAATGTTTGCGAAGCGACGAAGTAGTATTTGGTAGTCTCCGCGTTACCTCTGATGTTAACCGTCATACCAAAAATCGTCATAAAGTTGAATACGCTGAATAGTCAAAGGAATTGAACGAGTTAGATCAATGACAGCTGAAACTACCTGATTTTATTTCTAAGAAGAATCAATCGCCATCATCTTCTGAACAATCGTATCCAGCTAGTCATGGAAGACAACAAGAATTAGACAGCGCTGTTGTTCAAGATTTAATAATTGAACTGGTCTCCCATTGTCATTAGTAGAAAGACCGACATTTGTGAAATTTATGAACACTGTTGATCCTAAATTTTCGATAATGAGTCGACGAACACTTAGTAGAAAAACAATTCCAACCCTTTATACTAAAATGAATGATTTATTAAAACAATTTTGTTCAACAGCAGAATATATCTCGTTGACACTTGACATTTGGACCAACAGACGAACGCATCCATTTTTGAGCGTCACAGGTACATGCATGACCTTCTTTTAAGTGTTTTTTAAGTAATTTCGTTGTAGGTCATGCGATTATTGATAAGGAATTCCAATCCTATGTGTTATGTTTTCTTCCTATGAATGGAAGCCACACAAGTGAAAAATTAGTTGAATAGTACGAATTAATTGTTAGTGAATTTCAAATTCAAGATAAATCGTCTAAAATAGTAACGGATAATGCGTCGAAGAATATAAAAGCGTTCGAAAATTTAATCATTCCTGGATTTGAATCATATTTTACCGATGATGATGAAAATAAAACTGATATTGAATTATCAGATGTAAATGATAGCGATTCCGATGTCAGTGACAGTGATGATGACCTTAATCAAGATACGGCAATATCCATTGCTATTTCAACACAAACGATGTTAAATACAGTGAAAGATAGTTTCGACAATGTTACATCTAAGAGTGAATTGAGATTGCCTTGTTTTGCTCATGCACTTCAACGTGTTGTCCAAGGTGGTTTATAGCAAGCTGCTTGTAATTAAACATACTATAACAAAATTATCGAAAATTGCGAAGTTTACACATTCAAGCCGAATGTGCACATTTATTTTTGCAAAAAATAATTTTGCACATTTATTTGCCGAAAAATTAAAAACAATCGGCAAAAGTATACTAAAAGAAAATAAAACTCGACGGAATAGTCAACTGCATACTGTACAAAAAGTTCTTGAGATACGTTGTTACTTTTAGCCACTGTTTTTCGAACTTTTCTCGATAACCAGCCCCTCTAACGAATTCATTTATGCGTTGTAGTATGTGACTCGGAGCACCAACAAGTTGAAATGGTATTAAGTGATTTGGTTCAGGTGTTTCGGAGAAAAAAGTAAAATAGAGGGCATTCCCATGTCGTGCTTTTTTGTTATATACCGCCGGTATATCGCGGTCCACAATAATACCGCCGATATGCTGCGGTTTACCGGCGGTATTTTTTGAGACCGCGGTCCAGAAATTTACCGACGGTTTACCGTATTTTGAAAAGTGACTTCGGATTTTCCCGCTCAAATCACTATTCAGATCAAAGTTACTGAGAATCACTTTGACTTCTTAC